TGTCTATTGAACTTGAATTTGGATCTCTACACATGGATTTTCTTGTTTGCATCCTTGGGGCTTGAGTGTTGGTTATTAGAGATTATATTAAACTAAATATAATTGTATACAATAAATTTTGATTTTTTTTTAACCTCTCAAAATATGTCATTTTGTAGAGTTTGTTATACAAACTTTACTTTTTGACAAGTTGTCTCATAATGTAATCGAAACTGACAATTTGTCTCATCAATTAAAAACCCTAATATGGTACAAAAGAGTTTTTAACTCAATTAATGATAAATTTTAAATTAGTTTTTAAAATTGATTTAGGACTTTTAAAGCCTATGATGATACGAACAAAAATGAGGTATGGTTTGTCGAATTTTAAAAACTGATACCTCTATAATCGATCTACGAATATAGTAGGAGCACATATACATAAAAAAAAAATTTAATTCAAGTTTTCTGATAATCGGGATATCCGATTAACAATTGAGAAGTTGCATTTGAAAGCTTGTAGGACCAACTTTTTAACGCGTAAATCTTATTAAAATCCAACGGTCGGATTTTGATCAGTATTTAGAAAACTACTGATCAATAGTTAGTTTTTTTAGGCTACTAACCAAAATCCGACCGTTGGATTTTCATAATATTTACTTCAATAGAAAAATCGTCTTCCAAGCTTTTAAATGACACATCCCTATCGAAAATCAGATATCTTGATTATCAGAAAATTTTAATTGAAATCCTTTTTATACACATATGCTCCTACTATCATCGTGGATCGATTATAGAGGTATAAATTTTTAGAAATCGCAAAACCATGTCTCATTTTGTTCGTCTCGCCATGGGCTTTAAAAGTCCTAAATCAATTTTAAAGCTTAATTTAAAATTTATCATTAACTGAGTTAAAAATTCTTTTGTGTCATATTCGAGTTTTTTAATCGAGAAGGCAAATTGTCAGTTTCGATCACATTAGTAGACAAATTGTCAAAAATAACATCTTTTAGCAAACTCCAAAAAATGGCATACTTTCCTAGGTTAAAAAAATAAAAATTCCCATAAATTTTTGTGCTTAAAGAACTTGACTATTTCATTTGAATGGTATTGCGGTACATTTATATCTCTATATAATAATCTCTATATGTTTCTTGAACTAGAATTTAATCTCTAAAGGCAAATTTTTCCTAAATAATAATCTCTATATGTCGGTCGGTTTATTTGCAAAAGGCATTTGATGCGATGCTATATATGTGCCAACTAAAAAAAAAAAAA